CACACTGATCCTTTATATCTTCTTCCCATACTGGTAAAAGTAACTCCTCCCTTCTTCCCCCCTCTTTCTCTTCTACCAAACAAATCCCAGTCTTTTCCTCTTTCTCCTTTCTCCCCTTCTTCTACATTCACCCCTTTTTCTAATGTCTCACTCTCTCCACTTCATCCCTCACGGATATCTTCTATTGAGGGGACGGCTCACTCTCCACTTTCTCTTTTTTTCTCTCTCTCTTTCACATCCTTTACTCCTTTCTCTTTTCTCTCTCTCTCTCTCTTTCACATCCTTTACTTCAACTTTCCTTCACACTCTCAGTATAGACCTTGGAGCCAAGGTTATACATTAGTGTATTGTAATAATAAAGACCCCGGTTGTGAAAGTACCCGTTTGGTGTGTGTTGTCTGGAGAGCAGATTTTTAGAGGAACTGGAGCAAAAGCAGGTAAGCTCACTTCTGTATTAACTTGGAATGGCTTTTTAAGACTATTTACATTTAAGCGTCAGGGTATAATATTTGATGCTTGAAAATCAATCCATTACTTAGCATGCAAGGATCACATTTCTCTTCGTGATCTGAGCACTGCACAGTTATCCTGGAAAACACAAAAAGCCATAACGGCATGTAGGAAGAAACATGCCCCATGCTGTACATAAGCTAAGGTTTGTTTAGTTATGAGTGCAGACTTGGCTTCTTCCTTACTAGTAATATTGAACATTTATCTAGTGCTTTCAAGAGTTTGAAGCACTATCCCATTACAATGCAGTACAAAAAAGTCAGTATTCCCATTCCTATGCAGTAAAGGGATGGCAGCAAGAATGCCGCCTTAGGAAACTGAAGATAGAAACAAAATTCTAACGTGCAGCTTCTTGATTCATTGCTCATTCCATCAGCCATAATGCCTTCATACCCTACTGATGTTTCTTTCACAGACTGACTGTGAAACACTATATTGGGGTGGGAAAAGTTTTGCCCTCCCTATAATTTGGCCTGCTGTTCCAGCCAACCTGGCCAATGTCAAGGTGGTTAGAGACTAAAACTCCCAAAGGGCTAAACATTCCCCACTCCTAAAATGAACCACTGGTCAGGACATAGTCTAACCTAGGCACTTTAAAATAACAGAACAGCCCTTCACCTATTTGCTCTTGTCTGTAGGCATCCTTCAGCCCCGAGAGATTATGATAACATGTCTAGCGTGGCTGAGAAGGCCAATTTGAGAATGACAATCCCTACTACACTGAAGACAAATCCAATCTGTCCCCTGTCCAGCTCCCTGGTTTTTCTGGTTTTGGGACTGCCTCCTTGCCTCGGCCTGCTGGACAAGTGTCTCTTCAAATTGGGAAAGGCCATGCTACATCACCTGCCTCCAGGCTGAATGCTCAGATGTCCAGGTTTCCCATCTGTTGAGGTCCATTCCTAAAGCTTTCAGATCCTGCTTGCAGATATCCTTCTATCGCAGCTGTGGTCTCCCTCTGGGGCGATTTCCCTGCACTAATTCTCCATGCAGGAGATCTTTTGGAATCCGGCCATCAGCCATTCTCACAACATGCCCAAGCCAACGTAGACGTCACTGTTTTAGTAATGTATACATGCTAAAAATTCCAGCTCATTCTAAGACTACTCTATTTGGAAATTTGTCCTGCCAGGAGATACCAACCATGTGTTGGAGCCAACACATATGGAACATGTTCAGCTTCCTCTCCTGCCGTGCACAAAGGGTCCAGGACTCACTGCAGTACACAAGCTCTATAGACCAGGATCTTGGTATATGCCGTCAGCTTCTTATTAAACCATACTCTCTTTGTGAGTCTAGAGAAAATGGTAACTGCTTTGCCAATGCATTTAGCCAGCTCAGCATCTAGGGAGAGGGTGTTGGAGGTTGTTGAACCAAGGTACACAAAGTCATGAACAACCTCCAATTCTTGTGTGGAGATGGTAATAGAGGGAGGTGAGTCCATGCCCTGGCCCATGATATGTGTTTTCTTCAGGCTGATTGTTAGTCCAAAGTCTTGGCAGGCCTTGCTAAAACGATTCATGAGTTGTTGGAGATCTTTAGCAGAGTGGGCAACAACAGCAGCAGCATCGGTGAAGAGGAAGTCCCGCATGCATTTCAGCTGGACTTTGGTTTTCGCTCTCAATCTAGAAAGATTAAAGAGCTGTCCATCTGATCTAGTCTGGAGATAGACACCTTCTGTTGCAGTTCCAAAGTCGTGCTTCAGCTAAAAAGATCTCAAACAGTGTCAGCGCAAGGACATTGCCCTTTTTCACACCACTTCGGATGTCAAAGGGATCTGATGTTGAGCCATAAAAAACTACAGTGCGCTTCATTTCCTCATGAAAGGACCTGATGATGTTAAGGAGTCGAGGTTGACATCCAATCTTGGAAAGTATTTTAAAAATGCTGTCCCTGCTAACCAAATGAAGATCTATGAAGGCCACAAAGAGTGGCTGTCATTGTTCCCTACATTTCTCCTGCAGCTGTCAGAGGGAGAATACCCTGTCAGTGGTGGATCTATTAGCTCAAAATCCACACTGTGATTCTGGATAGACTGTCTGCAAGCACCTGGAGTCTCTTCAGCACAACACGGGCAAGCAGCTTCCCTACAATGCTGAGAAGAGAGATGCCATGGTAGTTATTGCAGTTGCCCCTGTCTCATTTGTTCTTATACAATGTGACTATGTTTGCATCCTTCATGTCCTGTGGTACTCCACCTTCCCTCCAGCAAAGACAAAAGATTTCATAAAGCTCAGTGATGATGATCTCTTTACAGCACTTCAGCAGGGATGTTATCCTTCCCAGGTGCCTTGCTGGAGGTGAGGGAATCCAAGACCACTTTTATTTCTGCTAAAATTGGTTTGTTGTCCAACTCTTCGAAGACAGGCAGGCACTTTATTTTATTTAGTGCCTCTTTGGTTACTACATTCTCTCTGGAATATAGCTCAGAGTAGTGCTGCATCATGGCCACTGGTCCCATTACCTCCTGGCAAATAGAAGGGGAAGATATAGAGGCAGTGACAGATTTTACTTCATGTCGGATGCTGCATTTGGATGAGTGGTCTTGTTGTCTGTTCTTCCGACGTCCCTCCTCCGGTCAGGTAAGCTTGTTAATACCCATTAATGTACATTCACAGAGACCACAAAGAAGAAAGAAAGGTTACTTACCTGTAACTCTGGTTCTTTGAGTGGTCATCTGTGAATTTATACTTCCCGCCCATCCTCCCTGCTGTCCGTGATGTCCCTGTGAATTCATACTTCCCGCCCATCCTCCCCGCTGTCCGTGATGTCTGTTTCATTTTATTCAGTGGTGGGCAGTTTGGGAACTGAGGCACTAGCCAGGATGGGCAGACCACATGCCCTAGGGGAGCAGTCCTGGCGAACGAGTGTTAAAGCTCTAGAAGATTCTGGAAGCCTCTGCACAAGCGCAGATTAACCCATTAGTGTGAATTCACAGATGACTGCTCGAAGAACCAGTTACAGGTAAGTAACCTCTCTATATCCTGCCATGGGACAGCTTGGGCTGGTGCTGATAGTGAAGCAGAAAAAGGAGAGGGCAGGTGGTGTGTGAAAATTTCCCTATTAATGATGCACACCACAACTTTTCCTGACATGCTGCAGCCTGATATAATTCTCATGGGAAGCAATGTAGGTACGGTGTTACTTTTGAAAGATGCACAACAATAGATTGGTGGTACCTATTTATCCACTTGCATTTTGCATGATTTCGAACTGCTAGATTCGCGGGAGCTGGGACAAGTGATGGGGGCTCACTCTGTCTTGTGGATTTGATCTTACAACTGCAGGTCTTCTGACCTTGCAGCACAGAGGCTTCTGCAGAACCCCCACCCTAAATGGTGTATAACCCGCAGCGCCACCACATCCCTTGGGAACCCCCACCCTAAATGGTGTCTCCTAGGTCAGGTATGGCCTTAAATACAGAGAGAGCAAGGTTGGAGAAAGCTGGACCATGGAACTGAAAGGAAGTGACTGGTTCACATGCCATGGAAAAGAAGACTTGGCCCAGAAAGGAACTGATGGATAGTTCAGTGGTTTAAGTCTCCGGCTGCAGAGCCAGAGGTTAGGAGTTCGATTCCTCACTGTGCCTCCTTGACAGGACCTGGACTCAAGGATCTATTGGGTCCCTTCCAGCTCTACATTTCGGTGACGATGATGATGACAAGCAGCAGGTCGAAGGGTTAGTGTTCTTTTGTGCTTCTGCTTTGCAAAACAGTGCCTATTTTTCTCCTACTGCAAAAAAACAAGAAAGAAGCCTAGCGGCACTTGGAAGGCAAGTTTTGTTTGGCTTTGTAAGCCTTCAGGCGGACTGGAGTCCACCTGAAGAAGGCCACGACAGTTTATGCCAAGTCAAATTCGCCGCGAAGGCGCCGCCCAACTTCTACTTTTTCCAAGCGACGAGGCTACCAAAGCCGCCCAGGTGGCGAGTATTCTCGCAAGCGAGGAAGCAGCCGCGACGGGCGACGTAGGTGGGTTTCACACCTTCCTTTGCGCGCACGCCTCCCCCACCCCAAAGAGGGAGGGAGGGGAAACCGCTGCCT